TCACACAGCACAAGATGCTGCTTACTTCTCTTTTATTAAACACAGACTCCGTTTGCATCCACATAACCTAACACAGTTATCTACCCAGGGACAAGCAGAGGAAAAAAAGTCACAGCAATAGGAGGTGGGGACAGGATCCAATGGCTTTCTAGTGAGACTAACGTGTTAGCATCAGGTCCTCTGACCTACCAATCTCCATTTGTTTAGTGGTGTTTTTCTCCCCATCTCCTGACAAGGACCAGAAATTGGCTATTTTTAAGTATGAACAACAAATGTAGCTCTAACACAGTCAGATACAGGAAAAAAACCCAAACAACTGACACACTGCAGATTCCTGGTGCCTTGCAATACATAGGTTCAAACAAGGTAGAGCTTGCATGAGAAGCTTTTAAGCAGAAATGGAGAGGAATCTAAGCATATCTTAACTCCCTGTCTAAGAAGCTCCGGTTTCAATCAGCAGAGAGTGACTGAACTCAGCCTTTTTTGTGGACTGCAGCTCGACTGCTGCCTGACACAATTACACAACACCAAGGGGACTTTCTCCTAAGCATCGTACAAACAGAGGAAGAAGCGGCAGGTCACAGACTGCCAGGAGGATGCTGTAAAACAGGTAACAGCTACAACATCAAATGCATTAGCCTACTAAATACTGGTCATTGAAAGCTTCCAGGCTCTTAGGCCATGGAATAACATGACTGGAAAGCAAAAATGACCCACTATTGCTAGCCACAAACCAGACAGGTTAGGTACTGGAAACTGCCTGTGTTACATAGCACTGCTGCCCCAGTATTTACCCAGGAAAGCCTCTGGGACTCGACAGCTGCAGATACACAAATGCACTGGCTTACAGCTGGCTCAGGTGTGCCTGCAACCAGTGGCTACAGCTCAGTTAATGCTGTTAAATCAGTTGGAAAAGAGGACTCAGAACAAAGTAGGCAGCTCAGTGAATTTAAGGAGTATTCTTTAAGTTATTTCCCACATCACTTTCTTCCCTACAGCTGTTGGTGCCCTAAGTTGCCTGCATAAATACAAGCTAATATTGTCATGTATCTCAAACTGGAAGACAGCAGTAACACTTGATTCTGGCCAAATAAAGCTTATGCATGACCACAGTAAAAGGCTGCTACTTTTGTTCTACTTGTCTGCTTTCTCCTTTGAATTTCAACAAGACAAAAATACAATTAATTTATTTTCTAAAAATACTATAAGGACTGAAATGTAGTATAACAACATTTGCATTTCTTTACAGAGTAGCAGTATTTTAGGTACAGGTAAACATCTTTTTATCAGTTGGATTTCAGTTGGTTTTGGCCAGTCCTCCAAGTCTTTTTGAAATCAGTGAACTTCATAAAACATACCTTAGCACATTTATTATCTCCATTTACACCCTTTACTCTAACAGACTAAAGTCTGTCATCACTAATGGAGGCTCAGTAAAACTAAATGAAGAAACAGACTGAATTACTTCTTACTTCAAATGAAAATCCAGACCTCATCTCAGGGTCAAGGTCAAAAGGAAGAGCTGGGTGTAAATGCAAAAAGAGCCAGACGGTTTTTAATTATACAGTAGTTGTTACGAGACATTTAGTACTTCAGGAAGGTTTATCCACCTGTTCCAATTTACCTCAAGTGCTTACAAGCCATGATGAATGCCAAAACCAAAAAAAAAAAAATTACTGCCATATGGATGCCTAGTTCATACATCTCCTGAACACACCAACCATATAAAAATACTCATTTTCTGTCCCCCTAAGAAAACTTCGTAATGGCTGCTATCATTCTTATTGAAAAAAATTTAATGTGTAATCGTGCTAGAAGGCTGGAGAGGTGGTGACAAATCACAAATATAAAGTAGCAAATCTCAAAACTACCAGCAGCCTTTAAAGACCACACATCCATTAGGTTGTTGCACAGAACAGCAAAGCCATTCTTTCTATTGAAACCTTGAGCTTTTCAGAAGTACCGTTTATTCTAATTTGTAGATGCTGAAGTAAACTTCTCCTACTCCGGAAATATAATTTTTCAGTTTTGCCAGAGTTGCAGTAAGAATTCTAAGAACTTGATACTGAAGTCCATGAAGTCTACAACCTCAAACTTCAAGAGGGTCTAAGTAAACCTTAGGTCTAAAATACTGCAGAGAACCCTAGCTCCACATGGTGTGTCAGTGTACCAAAGAAACAAAGCAGAGGTTTCCAAACTGCTTCAGAGTTTCCACAACTTACTAGTCAGTCTTGTGAAGACAGACAATATTCTCAACTTTTCCTGAGAAAAGCTGGATTACATTTATTTTTATATGAGGGAGGAGAAGACTATGATGATGTAAAGACCAGTCAAAAGCAACAGGTATCACTACTGGTCCAGACGGTGCCTGAATAGATTTTGTCTTATAAATCAAGCTGGTAGACTAAAAGCATAGACAGACATCTGTTGCATAAATACAGTAACCCTTGTACGATGGCAGCCCTTTTCTGCTTGCTTCAGGGGTGGCCCCAGTCTTTCAGTTCCATAAACCATTCGATAAAAGCTCCTTGTGGCAAAGAGCTGTAAGATTTAAACAGCTGAAAAGACAGGTAGTTCTGTTCTCAAGCAGGCAGGGATAGCAGCTATTTTTTACCCCTCAGCATCACGCTCATCCAGTGTGGGACACGGCTGGGGTGGAGACTAGCAGTATGAACTTCAGCAGCTTGTGCTGGCTCCTTCCTCTCAGAGCTACCACAACTTCTCATAATCCTAATGCCAGTAATGTGGCACAACCCCTGCCAGAGCATTGTGCTTGAGCTTCTCTACAGCTGCATCTTGGCCACATCTGCACTGTAATCATGTGGGCATTCAACACACACTGTGAAATCTTGGCAGTATTGTACTGAATGGCCAAATTCCCATTGACTAAAGCAGAGCCAGACTACCACGTATAATACATTTACTTGGTCAGAATACCTTCTCTTCCTCCTGAGGCTTGTAAGAGCCATAAATAAAGTTAAAGCAATATAGTACTCAGTGGTTTTAACAGAAGGCCTCCTCTGTTAAACGACCACCAAAAATAGTTGCTTAAGACTGGTTATACTGAATCATAAATGACAGAAGGCTGCTGAGGATTTTTTTAAAAACATATCACTACTTTTATTGGTTGTCAATGTTTTCCTGTTAGTCAATAAATGCATTTGATATAGGTGAGTTTCCAAAGTAAGCATGATGGGAGGGCTGGTTTAACATTCAAACTAATTTAAAAAGAAGTCACCTCAAGTTTCCCTATGGGACATTTACAAAATATGTTGTTAATTTGTTGCACCTAATTTGTGTGTATGCACTGAGAGGTAATTAGTGTGGAAATTCAATCAATTTTACCATCTTTCTGTTCAACTCAACAAATTACAGTTTTCAACACCTGTTTCTGGCAGTGACAACAGTTTTAGTATTTGTTTAATTTCCATAGGTCAGGAATATACCCCAAGCACAAGATACATTATAAACATACGCCCATGCAGAATAGTCATAGATAGCATGAATACCATCACCACTATATGTATACAGTCACACAATATTCTTCTGCAGAATTTTTAAAAAAAATATGTATTCTAATATAAATCATATTACTGGCTGCAGGTATTGGATATCATTGAAGTTTTCAAGGCACTTTCTATAATAAGATTTATTTAAAAAGTTGTTTCTGACTTTGCCAAATTAACTGCCTGTTCTAAAACTTTATGTGCTGGCTGTCTGCCCTGAAGCTGGGGTTTTGGTTTTTTGCTTGTTTGTTTGTTTAATTTCAGCCAAAATCCTCCTCCAAGAAGGAGACCACAGAACACTTTCTTGGTTTGCCAAAATGGCAGTTCTGGCAGCCTCTCCTCCAACTTGAGCACCCTATACTCTGGAGTAACAATTTAAAATTTGATGAGAGGTTTTGAGGAAGGAGAAATGAACCCCAGGAAGCCTAAGCTACAAGCCTCTGAGAGAACCATAAAAATAACAACGAGGTTTCCACATACTTAACAGAAACTTTATGATTTCAGAGGCTAAAAGCTTCGAAGACTGGGTCTCACTGAGCAAATTCTCTTCCATCATGACTCCCAACAATTGTATGTGCATATAATGTCTTCAGAAAACAAATGGCTATGCTTCCTTTAAGCCCAGGGTTACAGGTAAACCCAGGGTTACCAGCGAACACTTTCACAGCAAATGCTGCTACAGGCTGGGGCAGACAGTAGAAAGAAGCATCTCTCAGCAGTCCAGCTGATGCCAGCCAGATCTCAAAGTCATATAGAGAGGCTACAAACTTAACCAGACACTCCTACAATTCCTTGGCTAAAAACTTAACCAGGACACTCCTACAATTCCTTACCTCATCCACTATAAAACTTCTAAATGAACAAGGATCCCACTGGCAAAAACATCCTTCACTAGTTGACCCCAAATTCATTACAAGACTAGATCCATCCTTTGTATTATGTGAGGCAGGAGTCCCATAGGAAAAAAAATGTTGTAATGTGATCATACATCTGCAACTATGGTTCTATGTTTCTGTGTTTTCCAGCATCAGAGTGGTTATGATGTTACTAAGTTGTTAAAATACAGTATCCAAGTTCTCTGACCATTCACAGAATTGAGCTAATTCACGTCCAGAATTTTGATAACCTAATGTGCACATATAAAAGGATCCATCATACAATCAAAACAGGACTGTAAATGCATAATTGATCATTACACTTAGAGCCTAAACGTGTGCAGTTCTAGCAAAATCAACATGAGTACTTATAGAGCCAAGTGTGTACCTATACTCTTGCAAGACCAAGGAGACGGTAAATGGTTAAGGTAATACATACGCAAATATATTACCATCTGCATTTCTTCAAGAGCTTTTGGAAAGCTTGGTTTTGCAAGATAAGCTGGTAATCTGTAGAAAACCAAGCAAATTAAAAAATAAGACCACTTAGTACAAGTTTTGGTTAATACTGTGTGTGCAAGACAGCATCAAAACAAAATGCAAATAATCATACAGCAAGTATTTACCAGTATAGCTTTTATTTCTTTTCAAAATAATGGGGTTCGTTTAGATTTAAAATAATTCAGTAATTAACTAAAACGAATGTACACTTTGTTAGAACTTCTGCTAAGTGCCCATCTTGGGTTCTGAAAATGTGCGACAGAATACAAGAAAATATAAAATTGGGTTAGCAAAATACAATAACGGAACTTTACAAGAGGGACACACATTCTGTATTATTTTAACTAAGTCTATCAGGTAAACATGCTGTAACAGCTTTCCACTTAGAACGAGTGCCTATAAACTTAATCTGCAACCTGAATCCCAGGACAAATTCACTTCTGATCAACCCAAGGCTAGTAGGTCCAAGGAAAAAAAAAAATATCCATATCAAGCTGTGTTTCTTCATTGAACAAATATTCCCTTTTTCCATAAAGTATTAATTTAAAATTTTAATAGATCACTATATATGATAAAATCACAATAAAACATTCTCTTATTATTCATGATTCAACTACCTTTGTAGCCATAATGTAAGTTATTTTAAAAGCAAACAGTTAAGTGTTTAATAAAAAAAATTCTTATTTACTGCATCTAGTGAAAAAAAAAAATTGATGGTTCTTAAAAAAAGAAAAAAGGACTTGCTGTTGGCTGTTGCCAAACAATTCCTTCCTGTGACTTGCTTTTTCAAGAATTATGACGAAACTCTGGAGTTTGCTGCGATCTAGACAACCAAAGATGATTAGTCTGTATGGGAGCAGGATGCACAGTACTTGATTAAACCCACAAACTTCTCAAACGAGCTATAAGGATAAAAGAATGTGTTTTGTTATTGTGTCCATTTCCAAAGGACAGCTCACAAGGTTTCCTCCTCACGTAAAAACTGGAACACAGCTGAGAAGTCTTTCAGGGCATAGCCTTTGGCACACATCATCCTGTAGATCTGATGTGCCTGGGATCCCAAAGGAACTGGTGTCATCGAGTTAGTGGCAGAAATCTGGGCCAAGCCAAGATCCTGTGGGGAGGAAGAAGAGAGAGGAAGAATGGAAGGAAAGAAAAAGAGAAAAAGTTACAGGAGTAACAATAAATAAACATATACATATTATAAGTTATTTGGCTTCCAGTGTGACAAGAACTCTACTGCCAACAAATACAATACTCCAGCCTTAAAATTTCTATCCTAGAAGAAGTGAGTCTTATTTAGTTTTTATTCTTTAAAACGGTAATTCAATGTTATTCAACAGAAAAACCTCAAACTTTGCCAGGCAGACAACCACCTTAAGATCTGGAGGAATTTTAAGATTCTAGATCACTATCTAACCTGGTAGCAAGACTCAGACTCTTCCCCACTGTGTTATGTCATCTCCAAAAAGAAAATCTCCCTGGCTATTCACTGAAACTTTCAGAACATAGGTTCTAATAGCATCATTTTCTTGTTTGGGCAAGAGGACTTCTTTATTTCTAGAAACTAGTTACGAATCAAGCAGAAGGAATTTAAAAAACAAGAAAATTGAAGCCACTTAGCATACATACATTTAGCGTAATGTAACCAGTTAATAGCAAAATGAGAAGCATAGGCTCCTTTGTGAATATAAACGGTTTGGAGCCTTAACTGGAAGGGTGTATTAGAGAGTTCCTCAGGGGACTGTCCTGGGTCTGCTGCAATTCAAAGTTTTCTTTAATGACTTTCTTTAATAAAGGGATACAGAGAATAATGCCACTGCATTTTTAAACACTAAATTTGGGGCAAAAAAGGGAGGGAAGGTTCAAAGAGGATGAATTTGAAACCTATCCTCCAAGAGTCCTTGGTCAATTTCAATTACAGTCATAATCTGAAATAAATAGCAGAGAAGCCAAAGGAGAGTACCAGGTACTATGACTAACCATGGTTAGCCAGAAATAGTCAGCTATAGTCATTTCTATCCAAAATGACAAGCTAGGCTGGAGGATGCCTTGAACTCTAAGCTGAATAAGACATGAAACCAACCAAAGCAGGAAGCGCTAAAAAGGGCCTGTATATATAAACAGATCTCTTGTCTAAGTAAGAAAGTAATGCCTGCACTTGCACTCAAGGCTGCCTTTATAAGGTCTTGTTAAAGAAATCAATTTTGTCATCCACATTCCAAGAAAGATGCAAAAGAACCTCTCAAGTGATACGAGGAAATCCCTAGATTTCCTGTCCATCCAGAACTATAGTGGTTTATAGAATCTGTTGTGACTGATTTTTTTCATTGTTTTTAAATGGTTTGGGTTGGAAGGGACCTTAAAAATCATCTAGTTCCAACTCCCCCCCCAGTTATGGCCAGGGACACCTTCCACTAGACCAGGTTGCTCCAAGCCCCATCCAACCTGGCCTTGAACACACACTTCCAGGGATAGGGCATCCACAACTTCTATGGGCAACTTGTTCCAGTGCCTCACCACCCTCATAGCAAAGAATGTCTTCCTAATATCTAACCTAAATCTTTCAGTTTGAAGCCACTACCCCTTGTCCTGTCACTACGCGCCCTTGTCAAGTCTCTCTCCATGTCTCTTGTGGGCCTCCTATAGGTCCTGGAAGGTCTCCCTGGAGCCTTCTCTTCTCTAGGCTAAACAACCCCAACTTTCTCAGCTTGTCTTCATAGGAGAGATGATCCAGCCCTCTTCATTGCCCTCCTCTGCGCTCACTCCAGCAGGTCCCTTTTCATTTTATGTTGGAGGCCCCAGGGCTGGATGCAGCACTCCAAGTGGGGTATCACAAGAGCAGATAGAGGGGGGAGAATCACGCTCCTCGTCCTGCTGGCCATGCTGCTTCTGATGCATCCCAGGATGCATATGAATTTCTGGGCTGCAAGTGCACAGGAAATTATCAACAATGCATTCCAGGAACCTCCTGGAGTGCTTGTGCCCTTCTGTGTTGGTCCTCCAGCAGATATCAGTGTGGTTAAAGTCCCTCATGAGGAAAAGGGCTTGTGAACGTGAAACTGCTCTGATCTGTCTATATTGGTCTCATCTGCTCAGTCTTCCTGGTGATGTGGCCTGTGGCAGATCCCCACTATAATGTCACCTGTCCATGCCTTCCCTTTAATTTGACCCATAAGCTTTCAGTCAGCTCCTCATCCATCCCCAGGAGGAGCTCCATGCACTCCAGCTGGTCAATGACATAGAGGGCAACATCCCCTCCTCATCTACCTGCTTGCCCTTCCTAAAGAGCCCATATCCTTCCACTCCAGCACTCCAGTCACAGGAGCCATCCCACCATGTCTCCATGATGCCAACAAGATCACAGCCCTGCAGGCATGCACACAGCATGTGCATAGAGTCATTTAAGTTGGGATCTGATGAAGTCAATTTACTGGCTGCAATTCCTTTGTGTTGCTCTTCAGGTGCTCTCCTGCTGACCTGCAATCCATCTCCAGGCTCTGGGCACCTATTGCTGTCACTGGCATCAAATTGGTAGGAGTGGGATGGATAGAGGTTCCCCTCCTCCAGCAAGTTTAGTTTAAAGCCCTCTTCACCAGCTGCACAAGCCTGTAACTGAGGATGCTCTTCTCCTTCTCTGACAGATGGACCCCATCTTTGATACAGAAGAACTGAGAAACTGTAATACTGCTGAGAGCACCTTTGACTTCTCAGGAATGACTTACAAGACAGGTCTTTACTTTCTGTGTGTCTGGATTTGAATTAGCACAAGGAAATTCAAGATCTTACTCTACTCTCTAAATGTCACTTCGATCTGTAAATCGGCTCTATAAAGGTCATTCTGATACAAATCAGAATTACAGTTACTTTTCCTATTACCCTTGAATGACTTCAAGATCTAGGAAAATGGAAAAACATATATTTTAGATGACACAAGATCCAAAACAGTTTTCATCTGCATCAGGGCAGATCATTTCTTCTTGTCTAGCAACTCTGTTGAAAGACTGATGACATGACAAATCTAGGAACAGTTACTTTAACCTCACTTAAAATAAGATATTCCATGACATATTCCTAGCTTCTTATAAATGCTCTTTGTGAAACCTGTCCCATATTATTCCTTTTATTCAAGAAAGCTTAAATCACGTAATGGAATATTAGAACGGCAAAATCATCTAACTCCAAACTAGGGAAGGGACATTCACAGAAATAATCCCTGAAAATTCTGAATAGACTTCTAGCATAAATAGAGTTTCATAAATGTCTTGTTTTTGGCCAATGACAGAGGTAATTTTTCACAGTAGCTGGGAGGGGGCAGAGCCTGGAGCCCTATGGGCGTGGTCAAGACCCTAATGTTATTCAATACCATCCCCTGTCATTGTCAGGGGCAGGGGAAAGGCACTCTCTCTTACTTCCAGGAAGAAAGCATGTTCTTTCCTGGAGGACAAGGAAAAGCTGGAGGACAGAGGGTCTGTTCACCATTGCTTTTCACTGTCCCAGACTTGGTGAGTGTTTTGCATGTAAATCACCCTCTCTTTGTACATAGAATCATAGAATCAGCTGGGTTGGAAGGACCTCCGAGATCATCAAGTCCAACCCTTGATCCACTACTGCTGCAGTTACTAAACCATGGCACTGAGTGCCACATCCAGTCTCTTTTTAAAAATCTCCAGGGATGGAGAATCCACCACTTCCCTGGGCAGCCCATTCCAATGTCTGACCACCCTCTCTGTAAAGAAATTCTTTCTAATATC